GAGAAATATAAAATGGCCCTACATTGTTTGCTTTATTCTCTGGAAACCAGTTTAAAGTTGTATTTCCATTTCATTTTAGGCATCAGGGTTCTTCAACCATTCAGGAAAATGTAAGACCAAAGCCAGTTAATAATCATTATGTCCATTTTCTTTTCTTTTAATTTATATATTTTAAAGATTTTTAGAGAGGGAAGGGAGGGGAAAAGAGAGGGAGAAAAACATCAATGTGTGGTTGTCTCTCACACACCCCCTACGAGGGACCTGGCCTGCAACCCAGGCGTGTGCCCTGACTGGGAACTGAACTGGTGACCCTTTGGTTCTCAGGCCAGCGCTCAACCACTGAACCACACCAGCCAGAGCTCATTATATCCATTTTACAGATGGAGAAACTTAAGGCAGAAAAGAGTTATATTTTAAGTCAGAAAAGTAATTAACCAGGAGAATTCCAAAAAGATTCTGAGTCCAAAACAAAAGAATCTGTGGAACCCTCTGGTCCGCAACCACACAGACAGCACTCTGAAGTGCCGTTAAGTATTGTTGAAACCGGTTTTTGCTGTAGCAGAAGTCAATCAGACAGCTGGGATACAGATAAGACCTGGCTTAAGCATTCCGGTGAAGAGATGCTTTTTCATTTCATGAGTGGGTATATTTTATGACCTACTTACAACTTTGGCATTTGCAAACTCAGGTTAAATGAGGATAGGTGGAGAATCCCTTCAGTCTTAAATGTGAAATGTAAGCAATGGCCACAAAGAAGATGGATTACTTTGGGTAAATGGTTACATTTGTGAAGCTGACCAAGGATAAACACAATATAGCAAACCAAATCCATAGCAAACCAGATCCAGTTCTCAGATACTTTTGTTTGGCTCATAGCTCGGCAACCGGCAACCGTCATGCACTAATTTAATGATGTAACTTAACTCAGATGTGGGGGTGGGTGGGTGGGGAGTGGTGGAGAGATGCAAGTGCTGGAGAGGAGACAAGAAAGACAGAAAGCACAGAATTGTTAAAACTGGGTGATGAATATATGGGACTTCATTATACACTTCTATTTGCTTCTTATATGTTTGAAATTTTCCAAGACAAGAAGTGGCTTATTATAGCAAGTTGCTATGATTTATTATTATGAGTCCATTGCTGGAGTAAAATTAAGTAGCTTTTTACCCTCTTGTCTTATGAGTACACATGATGTTGAAAAGAAGATTATTCACTAACTTAAAAAATTTTTAGATAATGAAACTTTTGCTGCTTCTTGAATTTGAGATTTTGAAATTATTTAATTGACCTAAGCACATTGTGAATTCAATAAAAGAATTTTTTGAAGTATTAAAAAAATAAACTTATTGAGCGCGGGCCTGCAAACCACACGATCACGGTTCGATTCCCAGTCAGGGCACATGTCTGGGTTGCAGGCTGGTTCCCTGCAGGCCAGTTCCCAGCAGGGGATGCACGAAAGGCAACCATACATTGATGTTTCTCTCCCTCTCTCCTTCCCTTCCCCTCTAAAGATAAATAAATAAAATCTTAAAAAAAAAAACCAACTTAGAGAATAGCCTCAATACATCCTGAGCAAGTAGTTTAACTGCAATAATTTATCCTACCTGTCTTGGTAATACTTTTTGACTCGAAAATACAAAGTAATAGGCTGTTTATGACTATGTTAGGAAAAAGACCACATTTTCCTGAACCACAATTACACAATTGAAAAAGGGTGTTATTGTATAAAGTATAAAAGAAAGAAAATTGATAACATAATGCACCTCTATATTGCAAAAGTATGATGTTTAAGTTCAAAAATACCTCAGTCTTTAGGAGGTCCCAATTTCAAGCATTTAGAGACTGAACTCCTGCATTCTATTTATTCCCTTATTTTTTAAAATAACATGTACTTTCTCAGAAAAAGAATTTATTAAAACATTTACTGGGGATTTGCTGTATTCTAGGCAAATTTGCTGCATTCTAGGAACAGAATAAGACAAGTCTTCTGCAAGAATTGCAGTTTTAAAATGGTCTCCAATACTTAAATCTCTCCCTGCTCTTGGTTGCTTTGTTTCACTCTTGCCTCCCTCCAGCTGCATTTACTAGTTTTTGTTGTTTCTCAATATTTATTATAATTATTATTATTACAGCTTTATTAAAATATACTTTCCACCCCATACAATTCACTCAAATTGTACAATTTAATAACTTTATGTATATTTAGAGTTGTGCAACCATAACAATTTTAGAACATTTTCCTCACCCCCAAAAAGAAACCCCGTGCCCACCAGCAGTCACTCCATTTCCCCCTAAGTCCTTACACCCTAGGCCATTGCTACTTTACTTTCCATGGATTTGTGTGTCCCGAACACTTCACATATATGAAACTGTGGTAGGCAGTTAGGCATGAGCAGAGCAAGGAGGATGGGCCAGGTACAGAAGGTGACCAGGCCCCCCGGTTCTTAGCAATGGGCAAAGCTGGGATAACAAGGATTTTGCCCCAGGGTAAACTTTCTTCTCCTGGCATGTTGCCAGACTCCCATGGAGGAGGAACAAACAAGGGGGCCAGAAAATAGCCCTTAAGCATTAAGCCCCCAGGACAATGAGGTACTGATCTGCATCAACTACCCCTAAGCCTCTGTTGAGTTTCAGTTCCAGGCCCAGAAAATTCAGATGAGCACCATCATGGCTGACATCAGAACCAGTCGCAGCAAATAATGACCCCCCACCCCCGCATGGTGCTGGCCAATCATTAGAGATCCTGACCCTGGAAGGACACACCTGGAAAGCTGATGCATATCCTGTGGGACCCTCCCAAGACCTCCAGATAAATGCCCTTGGACAGATGACCCAGTGCAGCCCCAGGGAGCACTCCAGAGCCTTTCGTCACCCCTTTCCCCCAGATGGGTTTTCCCTCGCCTCTCTCTTTCCTAAGCTCCAACCGCCCTTGTTTTGCCTGTGTAACTTACTTCCTGAGCCCATTTCTTCTCAGACTCACTTCTACCTCTGTGAATTTCCAAATAAACTTTTCCTTGTATTTGAGTCTTGGCTCTCAATTCTGTCTCAGCCAGAACCCAAGTGCTGAGGTTGCTGCACTGAGGTCTGGTCTGACTCCACTGGTCTAATGCCTGGGACCCTCCTGCCACCAAATGAATCACAGAACATGAGATATTTTATCACTGGCTTCTTTTCCTTAGCATAATGTTTTCAAGGTTCACCCACATTGTAGCATGTATCAGTAACAGCATGTAGCATGTATCAGCTACATGTATCAGCATGTAGCATGATACTGCTACATGTATCATGTAGCAGTATCAGTAGCATCATCTCGCTAAACCACATTTTATTTATCCATTTATTAAGAAACAGACATTTGCATTATTTTCACTTTGGAGCTATTATCATTATATCGCTATGAATATTTATGTACAGGGATTTTTTTGGGGTGGATATTACTTCTCATTTCTCTTGAGTTTATGCCTACAAATGGAACTGCTGGGTCCTATGGTAAGAAAGAAAATTGACATTGTTTCACATTTTGAGGAACGGCCAGATTGTTTCCCAAAGCAGGGACACCCTTTAAGTCTCATCAACAATGTATTAAGCCTCCAATTTCTCCACATTCACAGCAAAATTTATTATCTGTCTTCTTGGTTTTAGCGATCCTAATGGGTATGAAGTGGTATCTCATTGTGGTTTTAATTTGCCTTTCCCTGATGGCTCATAACGTTGAGCTTCTCTTCGTGTGCTTATTCATGAACTCTTTTTTGAAAACTTTATGGTTGGTACTATTTCACTAACTGTTGAGGCAGCCCTGCCAATTTCCTTTCTAATGAGGGATAGGGCTCTGTACCATCAGCACATTTTGAAATTTGTGTGCCTAGACCATCAGAAGAATGAATATTTTCTCTTCCAGTGAAGCTCAGCGACTACTCATACATGGTGATTAAAAGCCTTTCTTTGCATTTTTCCAAATTAGAAAATCCAGAAAATAGCCCTTAAGCATTAAGCCCCCAGGACAATGAGGTTCTGATCTGCATCAAATACACCTAAACCTCCGTTGTACTTCAGTGGATAAGAAGTTAAATTACATTACCCTAGCAATGCTTGAAGCAAGAAAAATAAACAAAAAAAAAAAAGTATCATTCTAGCCTAAGAAAGTGGCGTGGCTTTATGTTTTAATCCAGCATTTTATAAGCAACTCTGTTACCAAGGAGCACAGCAGTCTTGGGTGCTTACGAGGAGCGAACTGACATCTCCGCGTCTCTTATTTAACCATTTAAATACCGGTTGAGTGGGAGGGGAGAGGGAGGAGGGCAGGAAAACCAGCCGGGTGCCACCAGCTAGGCCGAAACAACCGATACTTCACAACCTCACTTTTTCTGTGCAAATAAAGTCAACTCCAGGGGCTCACCGGAATTCTCGCGTTGGGCTAGAATTTGGTTGTTTTGAACATCGCTCTAAAAGAGCAGCTGGGGTTTGAGAACCGTTAGTTGAAGCGTTTTCAAGAGCCTTTTTAAAACCGCGTCCTTGCCTGCGCAGCTGCCGACGCTCCCCAGACCCTCGAGTGAGGAGACTTGAGTCACTAGCGGGTGTGAGAAGCTTGAGGGAATCTGAGGCCCTGCTATGACGGTTATAACAAAAGTCTCCAATACCGGCGTTTTCAAGTCTACACGCCCCTTCCCCTGCTCACCGCCCGGGGAACTTGACCTAAAGTCAAACCTCTCCTGCACCGGTTCCTCAGGGAACGCTGATTCCTCACAGCAACTCAACGAGGGAACAGCCAGCTGAATACCTCCCGCCACGCCCAGGCCCGCCCATAGCGGCTGGAGCCCGGATGGAGTCTTCCTCCGCCCACCTGGCTGCGCCGGAGGCCCCGCCCCATTGCCGCTCCCTGATTGGATCTGGTGACCGGCCCCCGGACCATCAGCTCTGGATTGGTCAATTTGGCCGCCGCTCGGCGCTTCTCTGGGAGGTGCGCGGCAGGCGTGACCACGCCCCTTACGTCTGGACGCTCTGTCGCCTCTGGAGGCCCTGCAATCGCAGTCCAGAAGGAAGGGGAGCGTCAGTGCAAGGGACTGTTATGGTGTTGAGTTTGCAGCCAGCGACAACTGAGACGCGGCTGTCGCGGCCATGAAGGTGAGGGACCGGTGGAGATGGGCAGTCCCTCCTAGCCGCTCCTGTCCGGCCGGGGCTCCCGAATTGCCTTCTTTTCCCCTCGGCAGCACCTCTCCACCGGCAGATGCCTCCACTAAGGGGCATCCTGGCCGGCGTCTGGGTCCCTGACCGGCCCAGGGCGGCTAACCTGGGCTCCCCGATCTCTCCAAGTCCCACAACGCCTCGGGTCAGCCAGCCCGAGGAGTGGGGAGAGGCCGGGTGCTCTCCGCACTCACGCCTCAGGGTTCCTCTCTGCACCGGGCCCTGTCCGCGTCCTCAGGGGCCTGCGGCAGACCCAGCGGTGCTTGCCTCAGCCCTTGTGGCTTTGCCCACAACGTGCCCTCGTCCCCCAGTCCTTGAACTAACCCAACTGTAGGGAACACCACGGGACTGTCGCTGGACGGGAACTGCAGGATGAAGGGTAAAGGAGCGGTGCAGGGAGCCGTGAGGCCGGGACCAGGCTAATGGGTTAGGGATGCCTCGGGGCGCGGATCCCCCCTGAAGGGTTCTTCTTGCATAGACTTAAACACTGGGGCCGCGACCTAGAGCGGTAGCAAACTCAGCGCATTTCCATCACCACTAGGTGCGCAGCAAGTAATTGGACAGCTTGAGTTCTTCAAGGTGGGTGTGAGAGCGTGGGAGCATCACTAAGTGAGAAGTTTAGGGGAAGGGGGCGGATGCTGGCCTACTTTGGGGAGCTGAGAATTCTAAAGAGCTCCGTGCGCAACAATCATTCAGGTATTGATTCATTTGCCTAACTCCGATCAAGTGGGAATGAGCCGTACGGTGAGGATACTCTTTCAGACACAGCCGATTTCCTGAGCCTCCGTGAAGAGAGGTGTGCTCGATGCGGGTAAGGAAAGTAACAGAATGAGCTGCTGGCATAAAACTCCACCTGCGTAAAGGCCCGGTTTGCTGTAGACGATTGATCAGGAAGTGTCACGTGGCTCGTGAAATTCAGCAAATATTTTGTTGAACCTTTCTTGTGTGTCAGCTCAGAAGGAGATAACTGGGCGTAGAACTAATTCAAAATACGATCCCACCCTTTAGGAGTTTGCCAGTTAGAAGAGACATTCTCAAGGAACCACATTATTAGAACGAAAAAAATGTGAAACTCGGGAGCAAAAAAGGTTATTTCAGGCTGCAGGAAGCGTGGAGGAATTTTGCAATAGGTAACGTGTGAACGTTCAAGTATGAGGCTGTCTTAGGAGCTTATTTTCAGTTCCCGGTTTAGTTATAAAATATTTCAACTTAGAATACCTAGTAAAATGCCTAAAACTGGCTTTCTTTCCTGAAAACCATCATCTTCCAAAAACATAGGGATCTTTATATAATGCCTCAAAAGAACCTCATTCATTGTCTTTATCAGTATTAAATTTGTGGCCCATCAAGGAACTAGATGTAGAAGGAGAAAATTAGGGACCGGTCCAGTGTTGAATTTTTTAGCAAAGTTCTTTTAAAAACAAGTGTTTTTGAATTTAGGTGGAAGATAACTGCTTTCTGAGTTGAAATTTTAGAAACAAGGTTTGGTGGCAGTTGAAAATATAGGAAAGATAATTTTTGAAGCATAATACAGACCTAAATAGGTAAATCTGAGATGACAGTTATGAAGGTGCTGCTTTTCATTTATGTTTTTGTGAAACTGGAGTCACAAAAATTAGGATTTGGGCTGTTCATTATTTAACTTTGTTTTATACTGAAATCATTTAATTGTGGGATATTTTTATCTGTAGATTTCTAGGCAGGGTCAGTGATTCCTGATGTCATGGAATTCTAACATTTTAATGTTCATTTAAGCAAGTGCTTTCCGTGGGATTAAAATTTCTTTAAAAGCTAAGAAATCACAAAAAGTACATCTTCACTCAAACCCAGGAGCAGCTGATTTTAGTATTTGTGTGCAATGAGTATTAATGTTCTTCCCTTGTTTGCAAAAAAAAACTCATACTTTGAAATAGGTTTTACCTCTTAAGACTCAAGTAACTGTTTAACCTTAGAGTAGCATTTAACTCCCTATAAGGAATTTAAAAAAAAATCAAAATTGGTGTCCTATGTTAATTTAATCCTCTTCCTTGTTTTTCCACATTTATTTTGATCTCACCTTTCCTTAATTGTACTAATCAAGTTAATTCTTCCAAGTTCAAAATGAGATATCAAGGAGAAAGTAATCTGTTGACTATAATTTTCTTTCCTTTTTTTTTCCCTGAAAGGTGGGGGATTGGTGCTAAGGATCAAGTACACTGTTTTAGAAAAAGAAAACAAAACCCAAACATGAGGAAGGTATGATCTCCAGCACATGTTGTTGTAAAACTGTATCAATTTGACCAGCTGTCTTGCGTCGAAATACTACATTTTTAAGATCAGCATGTTTTTTCAACCTGCGTACTGTCCAAATGGTGTGAAGAAAGAATTTAGGATGTAGGTAGTATTTCTTTCTTTGTGGTGTATGGTCTAATATTTGGTCATATAAAGAGCAGAGTTCTTTTCATATTGTGTTTCAGTTAAAGCAGCAGTTTCAATAAGAAATCCTTTCACATTTTAAGGGGCATATTTTTTTCTCCAGTGGCTGTAAATAGGATAAATATTTTTGCTTATTATCTTAACTGTTTCTTCCGTTATACTGTAAGTACTATGGGAAAGTTTAACTTAATTAAAATTCAGACTGCAAAACTTCCTGATTTATATTTACTGGTTTTAAGATTTGAAACATTTTTCATATTGTTTAAAGCAAGGACATTGATTTTAGCAAGCTGAAGGTTGTTTGGAGTTGAAAACAAAACCAATGAGTGGCTGAGTTCTCTGGGGAAGCTTTCTTTGGTGGAAGAACTGAATCCCTGCCTGGTCTTTGTAGCTTCTTAAAACATCCAGGAAAATTAATGTTGAATTTGAAACTTCTAGGTTTATTCTTAAAAATTACTGTAAAATATTGCCATTTTAAATTTAGAGTTGTGGCAAGCAGGTCTTAGGAGTTGGCGTTATCATTACTGCTGCTTACTATGGTGTTGCCCAAAAAGTCTGTTATACATTTCTGTAAAATAAGACACATTTTTAATTTCATCAATAAGTTTATTGATTTGGATATTCTGAGTATGTTGGCAATCTCTTGCTATTGGCTTCTAGTGGGTAGAGGCCAGCGGTGCTGCTAAATACTTTCCAGTGCTCAAGACGGCCCCACAGCAAAGAGTTATTTGGCCAAAATGTCAGTAGTACCAAGAAATTTCACAAACCACTTTTGATACATTCGGTCAGTCATAACAAGTGCTCCATATACTTGTGCAAATCTTTTTTTGCATTTCATTTGCATTTTTACCTTTCTTGAAATAATAAAGCATAATATGCTGAAAATGTTGCATATCTTCTTCCACCTTCAATATTAAAATGGCTGCACAGAAATTCACCAGTTTTCATAAGTTTGTTTTTTAAATGCATGCCCATATGATTGTATATCACAATACAATCTAACAAAATTGTTTCGAATGAAGTTAAAGACAACCAAGCACTACTAGAGCTATAATATGGAAAAAACTAAATGGACTTTTTGGCCAACCCAATAGTTTAATCAAAAGCAAATGATTTAGACTATTTAATTGTTGGCAGCAAAATGGCACAAGGTATCAAACAGGACGTTGTTTCAACAACTTCAGTGCTTGAATTCTCACCAAGAAATAATTCAGAGCAAGTTACAGAGGTAGAAGAAGTGAGCTGTAGAAGAAAGGGACTCAGGAAACAAGTTACAAAGGCAAAAGAAGGGCCCTTGGAGCCAGAGAGAGAGAGAACATGCCCAAGTGAGTGCGGTGGGGAAGGGTGCTAGATCCTCCATCCTGAGAGGTGTTATCTCCTCTCTAGAGGCGGGGATCTTAGTGGAGGTCCCAGTAGAATATTCATCGGCTTTCCACGTGTGTCCTTTCACTGATCGATAGGCACCAGGTAGGGGGTCACGAGTCAGTGCAGCTGGTCTTGACTTTAGCGTAGCACTGCTTATCTGGTTTTGCTGTTTTTCTGGGCCTGGAGCTGAAACAGGACTAAGGCTGAAATGGTATCCCTAGGAGTGAATGCTTACAGGAGTGGTTGTGCAAGGGCTCGTGAGGGAGTCGCATGTGGCCACTCTGTGGCCTCCTGTTCCTCCTCCAAGGGGATCTACCGAGTGAAGTGACATGCCTGAGGAGGAAAGGTCAGGAGAGGGCCCGAGCAGCATGAACAGAGATGGGAAAGGTCGGGGGTCTAATATGCATGACCAGTGGTATGAGGGAAGGTTACCCTGGGGATGAGGTCCTTGCTCTCCCAGTTTCGCCCACTGCCAGGTACCCAGCGCTTTCCTCCCTGGTGACCACCATCTTTGCTCTGCTCCTGTCTGTCTGACCACCAGATGGTCATTTAGTTTGCTGTGGTTTTCAAACCCATCAACTCTCTCTCTTTTTGGCTCTCATTTAATATTCATAGAAACCACCATAGCTTTTCTTATTCTTCTAGTTTGCCTGGTTACTGTGACATGTGGTAGAATCATTAAAGGGGATCCTAATGTATTTTAGAATAGGATTGAAAGTTTGTAGTAAACTTTTTGTTAATTCTTTAAATTTTGGAAGTACTTTACCCCCACAGGGATTCTAAAAGCATATTAGATCACACACACACACACACAAATCAAAGACAGTGGAACCTCAAGGCCGTTGGAAAACTGGCACTGTGCCAGAAAGAAGAATGGGCTGCCACTCTTGCAAAGAAACAACCCATCTCCTCCTGCTTTGTTGACTGATGATTCAGAATGGGCTTATATTGTGCGAATCTGACTCAGGAACCTGAGAGAGTGCTTATAAAATCCTTTGTTATTGTTGTGGAAATAAGTGTCAAAACCCTGGAAACTGTTGGTCCCCCTCTCATGCAAATTGCTGAGGTTTGAGGGTAACATTCCCTACCCCTCCCCTCCTTTATACTCCTACCCAGGGGAGGAGATTTCTAATTCATCTTCTAGGAACTATACAGGAGGAACACTTTCAGCCTTTTTGCTACCAGAGAAAGAACAGCAACTTTTATGTTGGTGGGTTTTAGCAAGGAAGCTAAACGTGCTTTGGCTCAATACTTTCTGGGGCCTGTCAGGTCTGTCTGCCTGTGGCAGGGGCTGGGTGGGGGGGGAAGTCTGGTCAACCAGACAGTAAACTGCTGTGGGTCAGCTGGGGTGTCATTATCAAGACCAGTCTGCTGCAGAGCTAACGTCGGTCGTTGTGTTCTTCAATTGGTGTTGTCAGTAAACAGGCGAACATTTAAATTCATATTTCTTAATTAGTTCCAAATTGGGTAGACTTATTGGCCCTCAAAAATCTTGGTGCAATGGCTTTGAAAATAACACAAAAACTGGCATTGGGCACCAGAATAACAATGAAGAGATCCAGGTATCTGTGACTTTGGAATTTAATCTTGTACTATGACCCCTGTAAGTTTTTAATGATACCTGGTCCTTAACTGATACAAGCTAGGCCGTGGTCCCAAGGCTAACGGGGACAGTTTTGGCCTAAGGGCATATGCAGGAAAGGGATTACCAAGGAAAAGCCATTTGCTTCCAGTATAGTCAGGGACGACTAGAAAATGAACTGCACAGATTGTCTGAGCGAGAAGTTTTGTGCCAGGCAGAAGTAGGTAGTTGCCTTCTTCAGTTTTTCTCTACATTCACGGTCAGTGGAGGAGATGCTGCCATCTTCACAGATTATTGTTCTTTAATAATCTTGGATTCATGTAGTTTAACCTGTAGAGTCTTGCTCTCAACCATGGTTCTGAGTAGGACTTAGAATTGTCAGTCACATAAGGCCAGATCATAGCGTTAGTATTCAGCGATCCACACTTTGGCTTCATTCATGGAAGGAGGGTAGTGGGTTGTTTTCTGTTTTTTTGTTTTTTGGTAAGCAAATAAAATCTGGGTGGTGACCCTCACACAAGGCAGAGCAACAGCTCAGTGAACTTAACTGCACATTCAAAAAGCCAAAGGTCTGTGCCTTGTGTCCTGTCTGTATGTAAGTTTTAACTTCAGCTCTACATTCGAATCCCATGGGGGAATTTTGATAAAATTCAAATACCTAGGCTCCACCCCAGACCATTCATTCCGGATCTCTGGGGCTGGCACCCAGGCATCAGTATTTTTTAAGGCTCTGCTGGTGACTCCAACCGCTGACACAAAGGTGGTGTCAGGGGCCTAGGTGGTTCCTCAGCAAGAGAGCGACAGCAGCCGCTGCGTTACGGGACTGAAAATGCCTGCTCTGAAGTTGTTGGGGAGACAGAATCACCAAAGAGATGACCCTCATTTTGACACAGGGGGGGCTAGAAAACACGGGGCTTAAAGGGGAAATGGCAAGAGTTTTTAAAATATGCTGGATGGGAAAGAAAGGTACCTCAGAGAAAACTAGCGATGTCTATGGTTTCAAATTTCTGATCTTTCAAGAAGGCGGGAGTGTTGCAGATGGTATTGTCAGAGGTAACAGTGTCTGTAGGTGATTTATCCTTCAGGACGACGCTAAGGGTATCATTGGGAGATTATTTTCTTATTGGGAGATTTTGTCTAAATTTAAGTTCACGCATCTATTGAGGCCGAAGGCTACATTCTTCAGTGTTTCCTCTTGCCCTCTGCTCTGGTTTTTAGTTTAATTTTACCAAATAATAGGTTATTTTTTTAATTTATTTATTTATTTTTATCTTTAGAGGGGAAGGGAAGGAGAGAGGGAGAGAATATCAATGTATGGTTGCCTCTCGTGGGTCCTCTGCTGGGAACTGGCCTGCAACCCAGGCATGTGCCCTGAGTGGGAATCGAACTGCCATTCTCTGGTTCGCAGGCCCGCGCTCAATCCACTGAGCTACACCAGCCAGCGCCCAAATAATGGGCTATTTTATTTGCCGGGAACAACACTTCAGGGGAACAACACTTGGGCTATGCTTTTTAATTTTTATTTTATAATGAGTTGGCCAAAAGAAGAAAGGAGTGTTGTTTTCAGCATTTTCCCTTCTGGGGAATGAAGAGGAAATTCCCTCCCTTCTATAGAAACACAAGGAATGGGGCAAAATTATTACCCTTCGATATTGATGTCTACACAGAGATTCCACCTGTTTTCCCCAAGTAAGTCTTTCTGTCTCTTCAGCAGAGCTATAAATATTTCAGTCTGGAATTTTAATGGTCGCGCCATTAGTTTGGTTGGACAATTCACATCCTTCTGTAACTCATCGTAAAACTGATTTCTGTCAGAACAAAATGTGTGGTAGTGCTGCTTTTAAAAGGGAGTGTCATTTGAGATTTTTAGCTTAACAGGTCAGAATCCTTTGTTACCTTTTCTCAGTAAGACAATTTGAACTTTCCAGGTAGCATGAAAATTTTAAGTAGTGTTACATTGCCTTTCAAGAAGTAACGTAAAGAGCCCTGGCTGGTGTGGCTCAGTGGACTGAGCACTGGCCTGTGAACCAAAAGGTCGATGGTTTCATTCCCAGTCAGGGCCAGGTCAGGTCCCCAGTAGGGGGTGCACAACACGCAAGCACGCATTGCTGTTTCTCACCCTCTCTTTCTCCCTCCTTTTCCCTCTCTCTAAAAATAAATAAGTAAAATCTGAAAAGCAATGTAAAGAAACCCTACTTATCAATCATGGTGGTGGAACTAGACGCAGTGGGAAAAAGTAGTGCCATCCACAAGGAACTTCCCTGGGGGGTGGGCAGACAGCACCCCCCAGGAGTCGGAAGGCGGGTAAAAGCTGACGCTGCCATGCAGTTGTTTGGTAACTAGGTCAGAGGACGCTGAAGCTCAGATTTTCCTCCTTTAAGCTCCTGGAGTGAAGAGAAGTTATCCCGGTGGCACATTCTGCATTTGAGGTGTAACTCCCCAACAGTGTTATGTGCAAATTAAAATTTTTTAAACGGCATTTTACTTGTTTTAAGAGTGCAATGTATAAAGCACTGTAGGTGGAATCCTTTGGTGAAAGAAGAATCACTTTAAATGAACTCTTAGTAAATCTGGATTTTCATCCTTTCATGTTGAAACAAACCATGACTCCAGAGTCTGAGGTTTATATTTAAAGGTATGAACTACTAACTATAATGTAACCCGACTTTTAAAGGCAGCACTATTCCTTGAGAATTACAGGGTGTGAAGCTATATAATACTTAAGTCAGTGACCCTGATACTTAAGGCTGTTTGAACCTTATATTGTGGCTTCTTACTGCTTTACCTTCTACTTTCCCTGTATTTAATACAGCATTTGCTTCCAGGTAGTGGCAAGAATAACACGATCCTCTTATAGCATCCCAAATAGCCTTTTAAAGTTGCTAAAAGTCTTTTTGAAAAGCTGGTTGGGCGGTGAATGTTTGACAGAGTTGGATAATTAAGTGAACTATAGTATTGTTGTATGTGCTGCCATTTCCACTGCCTGTCACATTCTCTAGAGTCCGCAGTATGTTTACAGATGAGGACAGGGCACACGTTAGTTCCAAACATAACAGCTTTTCAGCTTTCAGCGTGGGACAATAGCTTAAGCCCTTACTGAAAAACTACTGATATGTGTACGCACTTCTGCGGAGCTTGGTTACCGGGTTTCTCAGTCAGCAGTGGAAAAGCAGGCAGACTGCTACGCAGGCGCAGTGAGGGCAGTGGTGGTCTGTAGAAAGGGCAGAGGTGAAAGAAAAAGCATAAACAGCCACTAGTTTGCAGGCCAGTGAGTGGAGTGGCAGATCGGCCGGACATTTCGGGGGTCATGGTGATTGCTGAGTCATCCAAAGTTGTGTTCGATATTTGAAAAGGTTTAAAAAAAAATATTTTTCCATAATGTCAAACTAATATGTTCTTTTTAAAGAATTTTGAAAGTAGAGAAAAAAATAAATTGCATGAGATACCTTGAAACCTTAAGAGAGCTTCAGTTGGTATTTTGATGTTTTTCCAGTCATTTTTTAAAAATAAAAAAATTTTGCGTATGCCATAGTTTATTGTGCCCAGCTACAAATAAGAACAGAAGTTTAATGGAATGTGTTTGAGTTTATATTCTTTCTGCTGTGTGGTAGCTGGGAAAGTCTCTCACCCTGTGGTATGCGCTTTCTAGTGTAGCATTTGCCATCCAAGGCTGTCAGAGCACAGGATGCTCAGTTAAATTTCGAGTAAACAACAAACTATTTTTGTGTGTAAGCTAGCAATTTTCAACCTTTTTCATCTCATCGCATGCATAAGCGAATCACTTTTTTCCCCAATCTGACAAAAAAAAAATCACAACACAGAATTTTGACTCGTTCATACCAGATATTCTTGTTGTGTTTCTAGCAGTCTAAGGGAGGAGAGGTCAGTGCCCCCGACTAAATAGTCTCAATATTGGGTCAGGTATTGCCTGTTTTAAAAAATTTGCGCAGCACCCCAGTTGAAAGTCACTGGTGTAAGCACATCTCAGATATTGCACAGAATGTACGTCTGTCCAAATAAAAACAATTGTTTTTACTTAACAATACATGAATATCTGAAAGAATGCCAGATATTCTTTGCAGATACCAGAGAGTTACCCTCTTTCCGAATAGCTTAAAAATGTTTGACACTGAAAAGAACCTCTGAGTTATTCAGGGCAGACATACCTCTCCAAAGTGGCAACCCTGAGGATCCCGGGAGCCCAGGTTCCACCTCCTTTAAACTGGTCCTTCCTGTGGTCTTTTCCAGGCGGGCGCCACGTCTATGTGGGCTTCATGCTGTGGGCTGCTGAACGAAGTCATGGGGACCGGAGCTGTCCGGGGCCAGCAGGCGGGGTTTGCAGGAGGCACCGGTCCATTCAGATTTACACCCACCTCTGACTTTTCCACTTACCCGCCAGCACCTACAGATGGGCCTAATATAGTTTGCAAAGCTTGTGGACTTTCATTTTCAGTCTTTAGAAAGAAGGTGAGTTATCTCCTTCTTTCTCCCTTCCTTCCCCCCTCCCTAAAAATACATAAAAATCTTTAAAATGCAGTAATAATGCACCAAGCAGAAATGACCACACCGTAGTGTCACTTTCTTTGCTAGTGACTAAGGTTGTGTAGGTACAGATTACTGCATTAGTCAGGTCCTCCCGACATTGATTGACCTTGAGAAATCAGTAGCCTTTCTCTTGCCTTGTATTATGCTGTTTTCCCCCTTCTTTTATTTAATCTTTTAGCCCCCTTAAACCCCACCCCCAGCAATCTCTCCACACTGTTGTCCGTGTCCATGAGTCCTTTTTCCTTTTTGCTCAATCCCTCCACCCCCATCCCTTCCCTCCTCTTTAAATGGGGAAGTTGTTCACGTAGGGAAAGACCAGGAAGAGAGTTTGTGGTTGTGCTTTCTGCTCCATGTGTTTCAAGTCAGCTCTGTTCTGCTAATTACATGTTTGCATCAAGGGGTGGAAAGGTTTTAATTCACTAACACAAGAGTGTATGCTTTTCTTAAAGGGCTGTATTTGAACTTCAGTGAATCCAAACTGCCTCAGCAGCAACTGTTTTGATTTTCATGGCTTTTGAAACATAGAAAAACGCCTGTGAGAATAGTCTGGTGCCCCAGAGGACCTCATAAGAACCAGAACTGAATTTTAATAGAAGGCAGAAAGAAAGGAAGCTAGTGCTTTCACAGTGGCTTTTGTATCTGGCTACCATTAAATGCTTCTTTTCTGTTTCTTTAGCATGTGTGTTGTGACTGCAAGAAGGATTTCTGCTCCGTCTGTTCAGTCATACAAGAAAACCTTCGTAGATGTTCCACCTGTCACTTACTACAAGAGACGGCCTTTCAGCGCCCGCAGTTAATGCGGCTGAAAGTGAAGGACCTGCGGCAGTATCTCATTCTTAGAAACATACCCGTTGACACCTGTCGAGAGAAAGACGACTTGGTAGATCTAGTGCTGTGCCACCACGGGCTGGGCTCTGAGGACGACCCGGACACCAGCAGTCTGGGTTCCTCAAGGTCCCAGGGTTCCAGTTTTTTTACACACTCATTTTTTTCAAGCTATACAGCCCCCTCGGCTACCGTGTCTTCATTTCAGGGAGAGTTCATGGGTAGAGATCGGACCTTAGGATCTGGAGCGCTGGCACAGGTATGAGGGGTAATTACCCAGTGGGCCCGGCGTGTCTGCTGTTGGCCGTATGTGGTGTGGCCTTTAGGGGTTGCTGTCTCCTTGTGGGAGCCAGAGGTTCTCTGTGCTTCCAGGCTCTCCTGATGTGATCCTCCGAGCTTAGGGGCCAGGTAGCCCCCAAGTCAGCTGTCTGAGGGCCCTGGGTAACTAATCAGTTTGTTGAAACTTAGTTACCTCTGTTTCTCTCTCTTACATAGTTAAGTGAAATGACTGAAAAGTAGTAGGATAGAAACATCAGCAGGACTGTGTGCGTCAGTGACATGGAAACAGTTGTGTAAAGTAACCCGATGCCCAGTTGCTGTGCTGCAGTAGAACTGTCCTAATTAGATCATGGGAAACCACCATCTGAATTAGTGACCGTGGTTCCTGCCAGCTTCAAAGAAGCGCCCGTGCAGAGCACTCTCCCGGTGAAGTCCTGGGCAGCCAGACTGAGTAACGTGCCAGGGCTTGTAACAATAGCGATTTGTATCTATGAATGATTCCAAAATGCTGAAAATTATTTTGAACAATTCTCTCCATATTTTCTTCCCTGAATAAAGGAGTGAGAAGCAGAGGGAAATGCGATCTAGTTGTCTTTTAAATAGTCACAAATTAGATAAGTTCAAACGAGAAGTTTTATCATTTCCCATATGAGAGCTGGCATAGTTATTAGGCAAACCTACAAGACATCTGGCGTCTGTGCCACTTTTGGGTTTCCAGCATCACTTGGGAGATGAGGGTCTTTGGATGCTACCTATGGTGCTTGTGAACCGGGGGGTGGAGTATTTGAAATTGGGAACTGACCTCGACTGTTGTAGAGCAGTGGTCAAAATAAAGTCGAAGTGAAAAGACATAAGGTACATAAATCACATCAGAGGGATTTGTGTCCTTCCTAAAGAAGAGAACACCTCTGGCCCTCTGACTGTTGAGGATTTGTAAAAACTGGACCGAGCATCAGCCTTCAGTGGGGAAGTCCAGCAGCCATTCTTCGGGATGGAATCGTGCACATCAGATGCCCCTGACACTTGGGCCAGCCCTGGAGCTGCAGTCTGTCTGCCTCTGAGCGGCTCCAGTTCAGCCCCCCACACGCAGGTGCCCTGATGATGGCTTCAGTGCAATTCCACCGTGGTGGGACCTTCCTCGGGGGCTTCCGGTTAGGTTTTATAAATTCACGTGCACCTGGGAATTGGGCTTTTGTGACAGTTTTATGGAAACTACGTGTTTAACGGATCATGTAGGGCCCCACGCTTTGGGAGGGGCAGCAGCATTCAGGATCCAAAGAGGTGGAGTATACCTGGTGTTGGCGAGGGTCCGTGGGCAGGTTCACTCCAGTGATCGAGATGGGTTGATACTGTTAGGAAAATGAGATTCCTGACGTAACTGTACCCACAGGTACAAAGTGAAATAGCTTCCGCAAACACAGAAGATGACGACGATGACGATGAAGACGATGATGATGACGATGATGAAGAAAACTTGGAGGATCAGGTGAGATCTCCTATAAAATTTGGTTTCCCTGACATGTCAACCTGGCAGGCAGGAAAATGCCCATGTGTGTTTCGCTGGATGAGCCCAGCATGTTTCTTCTGGTTTGACTGTTGCATAATATGGAAACTAGTTTAAAGACGGACAAATCTGGGAAGACTGTCCAGGGCCCGGGATGACTGCAGGGTGAGGGAGGTCTGGGTTTGCGGGAACAGAGGTGACGGGAGCGCTGTGATTCCAGACGCCCAGCCTCTCTAAGAAGAGACTGAGAGCTTCGCTGTCAGACCTGTCAAGCCTTGAAGATGTGGAAGGGATGAGCGTGCGTCAGTTGAAGGAAATCCTGGCTCGGAATTTTGTCAACTATTCTGGCTGTTGTGAAAAATGGGAGCTGGTAGAGAAAGTAAACCGGTTATACAGAGAGAATGAAGAAAACCAAAAGTCATGTAAGTTTTTTTTGTCTTTTTTTCCCCCTCATGTAGTGTCCTTCCATATGCTTTAGAAACTGGGCTGTTTTTGTTACAAATTAGATTTGTTTCTGAGAAAATTGTGTATCCTCTCTTGAGTGTGCATTTGTTATATATATGAACCTATTTATAGATCTGTTAAGAAGTTCATTATGTGATACTGGCATTTTGAGATCACTATTGCCAAGTGAGTTAGGTGATCATTTGTTCAGTCTCGTTTTTCTTGGCATAATTTGTTAGAACTAATGAAATTCCTTGTATCTATAAAATGTTTGTTTTCTCACTAGTCATTCAAGTAGGCCAATACTGTGGTTATCTTGATTGTACCTTTTAAATCCCAACAGTAGAAAAAAAAGTCCCTAGATCCACGGTGTTAAGCATTACATTTTTAGCATCAAGTAGCCCTAGGCTTTTGTGTAAGTCACAGAAGCTGAGGCTGAGAATTTCTGAATGACTTAATGATGAAGCACGGGGCAGAAATCCTCAGCTGCTAAGAAGGCCAAGCCAGAGGGCATTTATAGACAACAGCCCTACCAATTTTAACTTTTATCATCTTGAGTTTTTATCTCTAAAGGCTGGTTATAATACAGCACTTATTGGTAAACAGGTTTATGCCTAGAATATGCACAAATTATTTATGCCTAGAATATGCACATGCGCACCTATTTCTATGATGCTACAATGGTAGATGCAGGAATCTTAATTCTCAGAGCCTTCAGAAGTCCCAGGCTTGTGCCTGGGGAGTGGAGTGTCGGCCATTAGGGGAGGAGTCAGTTTTGAATGGCAGCAGCATACAGTGTAGGCTGGAAGGGTGTGGCCAGGCCCACCCTCAAGCAGGGACAGCCAGGATAAGCATTGTGGCCTGAGGGCCTTTCGTAGTCAGTCATGGGTCCCATATCTAAGCTCATGGAACACCCACTTTGTTTTGAGCACAGCTTGAATCTTTCCTAATTTGACCAGCTTCAAATCCCACTTGCACCAGGATTTACCCGGCAGCCTTGACAGACCCTGGATCCTCTGCTTTATGCCCAGAAATTGTAAGAGTTGGAAGGAACCTTCTGTGCCACAGAGACCAAAGCCCAGAAGACTTATTCTCAGGGGCCTTCTCGTGTTGGCCCTGCCAGATCATCTTCCTGTGTGGGTCCGTTCTCCCTGCTCCCCAGTAGCTGTGTGGGCTGGGAACCAAACTACAAGAAACTCTTGACATAACAACGTTTATTTTTCTTAAATCCAGGGATGACTGGCTCTCCCAGCATGACTTCTTGTTCTTTTCTAATCACATTCATGATCCCCACTGGTCCTTCCTGTGACCTGTAGAAAGGGAAGCCTCCATGTCTATAGCTCTGTAGCTGGACCTCAGGGTATAAACTTTTAAAACTCATTCAGCATCTTTCTTATTCAGAGTCTGGATTTTCTCAAAAACCTAATCTGGGCCACAGAGCCAGGATGGCCCATCCTTTGTGAGTTACACAGACTCCAGCAGGACCAGGGTGGCCAGAAGCAGAGATGGCTTTTGAGATGCTTCCAAGGCTGAGGTGGGGTGGGGACCACAGGCTGCTTCCCTATCAGTGTGGAAACACAGCTCCTTTCTCCTGCAGAAATGAGACCCCGAGACTGTGACTTTCCCAAGGCTGCACAGTTGGGTTGGAAATTCCACTAGTGTTCTGACTCCAAGGCCCATATTTAGGACAACCTAGGGATGCTTCATTTTTTATTTACAGAACCAATCTATCCTCACAAAAACCTTAACTTACATAGATTAAAATAGAATTAAATAGCTAACAGTTGTTGGGCACTTGATACCTGGCCCTAAGCTAAGCGTTTCTCATTCATTCATCACGAAACTCTACCGGTGCAGGCATGAATATCACTGCCATTTCCAGGGGAGGGACGTGCAGAGAAGTTGGGATGACTTCTCTCACCAGAGGGTCACCCTGTGCCTGTGGTGGTCGCTCGGCAGGTGGCAGCTCAGCCTGTCAGGTGGCCCCGTCAGCAGCCCCAGCTCCCTGTTGCCTTTCAGATGGTGAGCGAACGCAGCTGCGGGACGAGGAAGATGACAGCCTGTGCCGGATCTGCATGGATGCCGTCATCGACTGCGTCCTGCTTGAGTGCGGGCACATGGTCACCTGCACCAAGTGCGGCAAGCGCATGAGCGAGTGCCCCATCTGCCGGCAGTATGTGGTGCGTGCTGTGCATGTGTTCAAGTCCTGAAGTGACGCTCTCCCTGCCGGGACGTTCGCCCCCAAGCTTGATCCCAGACATTTCAGAGCACAGAAGGGACTAGAAACGGACCGTTCAAAAGTTGAAGTTATTTTTTAAAATTATTTTCACTACTAACTGGGAATAAAGATTCATCCTGAGTTACAGCAACACTGGCTCATCCCACACGCCTGTCAGCCCGTGGACATGCTCGGTTCCCCAGGTTCGGCCGGGCTTCACCATACGTCTGTGATCCTTCGTTGCTGGAGTCAGACTGCTTATGGCATCAGCTACTCTCCCTCTGGAGGGTGTTTGTCCTTATTTCTCCTTCCTGATTGTAACTTAAACTACTCAGATGTTTGAAACTTCTTTTTGGATGAGACCGTTGTCCACAAATGACCGACATGGTATACACTGACCAGTGGCACCTCCGAATGTTCACTTTATCAGTCATGTATATTCTAAATGCTACTCTGATGAATGTAAGTTTCCACATTGTTGCTATTTCTGCATTTAAACTTAATTGGGAACAACTGACCTTCTATAGTCAACTGCCAGGGCCTTAGACTAACTATGTCCATTTCTGTTCAGGTACAGCTTTTTCTAGCAAGGGCTGCATCTAGCTTCTTTCCCTAGAGAAATGTGTGTGTTAAATTCTTTATTAACATGTAACTGGTTTACACTGTTTTGTATAGTGAAAGTGTATTTTCAGTGCTACTGCTACTAGCTGATTTGAACTTTAGGAATAAAACTAGATTTTCAAAAATGCTTTTATTTCTATCGTCCTAGTCAGTTCCTAACTCACATGGGTACAGCTAAACGGGTGTCTGTGCACATTCTGGCTCCATTCTTCACGGGAGGGGAGCATCTTCAAACGCCCTGCAGCATCTCCCTTTGCAGCTGGCTGACTCAGTAAGGTGAACTGACTTAGTTCGGATTTGCTGTTTACTGTGACCAGGAGTTTTAAGGTTCTCTCCAGCATTCGTTCTGCACTAGATAATGCCTCCCACTGCAGATGAGGCACCTGACCTCTGAGAAGTTGGAAAAAAACTTGTCTAAAATTTCAGTGAAATGGTGACTCTGTCAGAATTTGAACTTAGTTAGCTCTGGTGCCAGTCTTCTATGTGAATTGTTCCAATACTGCATATCAAAGGGGAAACCTGAGATGTTAGCTTATGCAAAACTGTTTTAGGGCACTAATGATCTGAAATCTCATTTAGGGTGAAACTCTAATGGGGGGTGCCTTTGGTTGAGATGAGACTGAATGTGGAGTCACTCCCATGGTGTAGTGGGCAGGTAAGTTTTTAAGAAATGTCTTTTTTTTTTTTTTTGCAATAACTGCATTATAGATACTGAGGTTTTTTTTTAAGTTGTGGGATAATACTCAGTGTACAAATATACACTTTAAAACATTTTTTCATTCCCATCCCCCTCCACTTTGTCAACCCCCCAGCTAGCCTGTTCTCTGTATTTGTGTCTGCATCTATTTTTGTTTTTAGATTGCACATATAACTGGAATCATACAGTATCTGACTTTCTCTCCTGTATCTCACTTAGCATAATATGCTCTAGTTCATCCACGATGGGCTCTCTATTCCACTGAACTACATGTTTTCATGCCAGTACCATACTGTTTTGATTATTATAGCTTCACAGTCTAGTTTGGTATCAGGGAGCATGATACTTCCTGCTTTGTTCATTCTCAAAATTTCTTTGGTTATTTGGGGTCTTCTGTGGTTCCATATAAATTTTAGAATTAGTTCTAGTTCTGAGAAGAATGCCATTGGCATTTTAATAGGGATTGAAGTGCATTTGTATGTCGCCTTAGGTACTGAGCACATTTTTAATACTAATCCTTTCATTTGTTTGTATCTTCTTCAATTTCTTTCTTTAGTATCCTGTAGTTTTCAGAGTACAAATCTTTCACCTCTTGGGTTAAATTTATTTTATTCCTAGATATTTTGCTTTTTGATGCAAGTATAAATGGTATTGTTTTCTTAATTTCTCCTGATTGTTCACTATTGTATAGCAACAGATTTGTGTCTGTGGATTCTGTATCCTGCAACTTATTTTAATATTTTTTGGTAGAGTTTTTAGGGTTTTCTCCATATAATATCACATCATCTGCAAACAAGTTTTACTTCTTCCTTTCTGATCTCGATGCCTTTTTTTTCCTTTTGCTTTCTGATTGCCAGGGCTAGAACTTGCAATGCTATATTGAATGGCAGTGGGCATCATCTTATTCCAGATTAGAGGAAAAACTCGTCAGCTCTTCATTGTTGAGTATGCTAGCTGCGAGTTTGTCTTATCTGACCTTTATCATGTTGCTATGTTCCTCCTGTACTCACTTCGTTGAGTTTTGATCATAAAAGGATGTTGAATTTTGTCAAATGCTTTTTCTGCCTCTGTTGGTGTATATTTTGTTAGTGTGATACATCAGCTGCTTTTGCATGTACCATCCTTCCAGTCTGTGGTATAAATCCCGTTTGGTTGTGGTGTACAATCTTTTTAATGTGCTGTTGAACCTGGTTTGCTAATACTTTTTCAGAATTTTTGCATTCTTGTCCATTGAGGATATTAGCCTTTAAGTTTCTTCTTTTGTAATATGTTTGTCTGGTTTTGGTTTCAGAGTAATTAATACTGGCTTCATAGAATAAGTTTGGAAGAAATGTTAACTTCTCAACTGAGTCTTGGTGGGTTTTTAATCTTTTTTTAAAAGATTTTATTTATTTCTTTTTAGAGAGGGGAAGGGAGGGAAAAAGAGAGGGACAAACATCACTGTGTGGTTGTCTCTCACGTGCCCCCTACTAGGGACCTGGCCTGCAACCCAGGCATGTGCCCTGACTGGGAATCGAACCAGCGACCCTTTGGTTCCCAGGCCCACACTCAATCTACTTGAGCCACACCAGCCAGGGCGGTTTTTAATCTTTTGACTCTGCAGTTTGGCAACACACAGACTTGAAAACTGCAGATAGTCTGCTCGTATGCTTAGAGCAGGAAGTTCAACAAGCTGTGAAGAAAAATCATGCCTTTCTACCCTTTTGAGTTTTGAGGGTCAAAGCATGTAAATCAGGGCCTTGTGAATGTTTTCAAATACCTTCTTGTATTTACCTGCAGAGCCCAGGGTGGATGTCAGCTACAGTGCACACTAACCAGCCTGAGCAGAAGCAATAAAACAGCCCCTGCTGAAGCTTCAGGGGCACTTACCTTGTCTGTACTTCCTGTGAGACAGTGAACTCAGAGACTCAGCCTCCCCCACAAACTGGGGAATCTTCAAATCCAGACCAGCACACGACGGGAAGCGCATTTAGAAGCTGAGGCGCAGCAGGTGCTGGTTTGTCTAAAGTTAAATCAGAAAATCGAGATTTATTTGCACATAGTCTCAGCTTAAAACAGCTTATTTGATGTTTTCCTCTTATTTGATGTTTTCCTCTTGGATTTATAGAAGTTTCCAATGCTTATTTTTAGCAAAAGAATAAAAACCCTGAATAGTGGCTCTTTTTAGGTAGTGTTTTGAAGTATCCTTGGTTTAATGAAGGCCAACACATTTTTAGCCTAAGAAGCTTGACACTTGGAATAACCGGACTGTAAGCCGCTTAACTTGTCTGGCAGAGAACAAATATTTCTACCTGGGCTCTGCATTTTGTAACCGGCACGCCATGCCTCGAAGTTAATTTTCTGAAGACATGTCATGTGGATAAAATTCTGAAGGTTCAAAGTCAGCTACAATCCCATCTCCTTGGGCCTGTTCTCACAATATAGAAGGATGTCATTTAATCCTTTAGAGGGGCCGTGGAATCTTCCTTTGTAGTCATCAGGTTCCCTAGATGAAGGAGGGATGGGGCCTCCTCTTTTTCCCTGGTGAAGAAGCTGGGATCTAACACAGGAAGTACTACCTCTCCTTTATGGTACTTTCATTACATCATCAGGCGCGGTCTGTGGGCTCAGAGCAGCTGTTTGCAAGCCTCTAGCATAGCCTGGCCTTTTCTAAAGCTCATTTTTAAACAGTAGGTCTGCAGACTGTGCTGTGGCAAAATCTTAACTGGATTTTCAGTACAGTGAGGTGGGGTGGGGCTCACCTGTTACATCTGCACTACAGCCACCTGCCTCAAGCCTGGAGAGACGCTGTGTCCAGCTCTGCAGCGTGTCCCTGTGGGGCTGTGACTTCCCCGTTCTGGCAGCCCCTCCTTTGCCTCCACTGGGTGGACTTAAACGCTCCCAGAGACGTCAGGGGACAACCAGGAGCCTTGGACGCCGAGCACTCTTCCTGGAAAGCACTACGGCCCTTAAAACAATCCCCAAGGAGGAGAACAGCTCTACTGGATGTCAGGGTAACTCTTATTGGAAGGTTCGGAGAACTCAGGCTGTTCTCTGAAACCCGACCTCTTGTGGGGGCGCTGCACGATGAACCATCAGGCTTGCAGAGGCAAGCCACGTTTTATAAACAGATCACAGAGTATCCAACTAATCTTACCTCTCTCAAGTGCATCTCCTGAGTTAGATTCTGGGGGGCGACAGCTTCAGGTTTCTTCACTTTGAGTCAGAAAGGATCTTTGGATTTAAATTAAGAGGAGGCAAGAACCCAGACGGGGGTCTAAGACCATTTTGCCGTGGCCAACAACGTAAGGGCAGGGGCAACAGGAAAACTACCATTAGCAGAAAAGCAAAAGGCTTGTCCCCCGACACCCAAGTCTTACGTTACTACTGACTACTGAGGCAGGAAGCTGGGTCGTCGTCACCATTTCCAGATTCATGGGAGCCACTGTTTCTGCGTCTGTGTCTGAGATGGCAGGGCCCCCTCTAAAAAATGCTGATTTAAAATTCTCACTGGTTTCTGTGTCTGCCACCCAGGGAGTTTACCGCATAACCAAGCGCTTCCAGCCACCTGGCCCGTGGCGACTACACTAGCCCAGGATGTGGCCCCCTGACTTGCCTCGCATGGGAAGTTGAGGACTGGCCTCCCCCACCCCCATCCTTTGGCAGTGGAAATGCCAAGAGGCTGTTGGTGTAGCACAGCTCTTCCCCATCACTGTTATTAGCCACAGACAGTAAAGTCTCTTACTGAAGACGGAAAAAAAACATGTACCAAGGGGGCCACTGCATTTCTCAGATGAACGAGAAATTATAGCTTGTTTGGCTTTAAAACAGTGGATGTAGGCTAGTGTTGAGATGCGTGCCCCTGGACTTCCCAATCAAATGTCCTGTCTGCTCCTAGAACAGAAACCCTCAAAGTCCAAGAGTGGTTTTTTTTTTGTACAATCGTTTATACAAACTCAACAAAGGTAAAACCGCGTCAGGGGAGGTCTAGGAAAACACCACCTTACAACAATGGCACTTATGAATGCATAACTTGACAACTGGGAAATAGCCATGTTATAAACCTGAAACGAGAACTCAACTCACACCTCGCAGGAGAGAGACAAGGAGAAGGAAGGCCGTGATGGGTCGTGGGTTCTACTTCTTGACTCACTGTATAAATTAGGTCTATGCAGAGTACGAGAGCTCATGCTGGAGTAAAACCCTCCTGAGTGCAAAGGTTGAAGTCTGAGTTTTAAAACTTTTTTGAGAAAAAGGTGAATTCTATACAGAGGAAACTTGGCCAAGTGTTGTCTTACTTTGACTATAATTTACATATATGCACAACATGCTTATGGAACTTCTTGATGTGCAAAGCAGGCTCTCAGCTTCCAGGTAAACATGCTTTTAACTGGAAGGTCTCAGCCTGCTTTGCCAGACCTGGGCACAGGTATAATTGGATTATTTGTGTCGATGAA